GCCTGTGAAATAGGAGACCCAGGTAGCAAACTGGATGCTTTGTAGTTAGACGCCACTTAAAAGATTGTGGTCAGGAAACAAAAAGGAAATTTAACTTTTTTCATTTGGAGGAAAATTTAGATTTTTGCCTTTTATTAATGTATTAATATCAACGCAGGATTATTTCAAAGCAGGGGCAGACTTTTTGTTCACTTTGTAGGAATGCTATGGAACAATCCTTTTCTACACTATGAATGTGTAGTACTCTCATTGGTTAATAAAAAGCTGACAGGCCAGTAGCTGGGCAGGAAGTTAGGTGGGAAAGCCAAGCTGAGAATGATAGATAGGAAGGAGCAGGGCAGAGTCAGCTGCCTAGGAAGCAAGCCGTGCTAGAGGACAGGTGAAGCCACAGCCACGTGGCCATACACAGACTAATAGAAATGGGTTAATTTAAATGTCAGAGTGAGCCAGTAACAAGCCTGAGCTATCAGGCTTGTTATAATTCATATTCAGCTTCTGAGTCAGTTATTTGGGTCTGGGCACTCAGGACAGGAAATGTCTGTTACGTAGAAACTCTTTTGAGACAGAAATGTGTCACGTTCTTTAGAACTAAGCTTCTTTTGTTTTAAGACAAGATCTCTAGTCCAGATTGACCTTAAACTCCCTGTGTAGCTGAGGATGATCTTGAATTTCTGATCCTCTGGCTTCCACCTCTCAAGTGCTGGGATTACAGGCATGTGCCATCACCACACCTGATGGAACCAGGGTTAATATATGCATCAAATCACATTATTAGAGCTCATTTTCACTTATGTCACCAAGGATTGGAAATTTCATTTTTAATTTGGAATTCATGTATATATATTATTGCTAAGTTATTGCATTTTACTGTAACCGACATCTAACCTAAGGGTTAATATCTCATGTTGTTCTCTCTCTTCCTCTCTCTAGAAGGACCCTTCATCCCCGACTACAAATAACAATTCAGATGAGGAAGACTCAGGTGCAGGAGATTGCGCTGAAGCAGTGGATGTAGACCTGAACCTGGTTTCAAATATACTGGAATCCTACAGCTCCCAAGCTGGCCTGGCAGGACCTGCTTCCAACCTGTTACACAGCATGGGTGTGCGACTCCCTGACAATGCTGATCACAACCCCCAAGGAAAGCCAGTGAAGAGTTAGCCTGCACATCAGCTGAATCAACAATAAATTCTCACTGACTAGACCGTGAGTCAAGTGTGCTATTTCTAGTCTGCTGTTCATGAGAATGTCTGCCTTAGCTGGGTGTTGGTGGCACATGCCTTCAATCCCAGCACTCTGGAGGCTGAGGGTGGTGGATCTCTGCAAGTTTGAGGCCAGCCTGGTCTACAGAGCAAGTTCCAGGAAGGCTCCAAAGCTACACAGAGAAACCTTGTCTCAAACAAACAAACAAACAAAAAACAATTAAAAAAAAAAAAAGTATTCCTTGCAGGTTCCAGAGCCCCAGTACCACTTCTCCGCAAGTCTTGTGGCCTCATGAGCTTGTTTTGTTTGCTTAAAATTTCCCTAGACATGGCCTCCCTTGTAGCTTAGTAAAATATGATGCACCCTTTTGTAACTCTGAATATTTAGTTTCTCTCTTAGGTATGTTCCTCCTCAGTCAGAATTCTAATTTGGCAAAATCCCATTTCATTCACTTTTTAATGAGATATAAAGTGCTAAAATTTAAAATGTTCATTTTGTGACATTTTGCACATGTTCCTAATTCAAGATAACTTATTTTTTTAATTAACTAATTAAAAGCAGCCTGGGTGTCACCGAGGCATTGTGTACCTGGTATAGTGCCAGCTTTTGTTTAGCCCGCACTGCCTCCTTCGTCCCCTCTCCCACTCACAGGGCTCTGCTTCACACAGAGAGATGGTTCTCTTTGTCCCTCCATTGCCGTCATCCCCTCCCCATCAGTTCCCTTCTGTTTTCATGTTGCATTTATATTTAGCTTACTGAGGCAATCTCACATAGCCACATTGTCTATGTACCCAAGACTTGTCTGGACACATGAAAGGAGGTTTTTCATTTGAGAATTATGTTCATTTTGTTGACAATCCCTTGAGCCTTCTGTTTCTATAGCCTAAGTGCTAGAATTATAAGTGTGGGCCGTCACACCCAACTTTCCCTTAGTCTTGCTGTACACAATTACTTACTATATATTGTTCTGAGAAGGCCTAATGCTGGGGGCTGGGGAAATGGCTCAGTGATTTAGAGCACTTGCTCTTCCTACAGAGAACCCCAGTCTCAGCATTCACAACCACCTATAACTCCAGCTCCAGAATGTTTTGATGCCCTCTTCTGGCATCTGTGAGCACTACATGCATGTGGTATACATATATACATACATAAAGACAAAACGTACACATAAAATATAAATAATAAATCAATTAGCTGGGCAGTGGTGGCGCACACCTTTAATTCCAGCACTCGGGGGCAGAGGTAGGTGGATCTCTGAATTCAAGGCCAGCCTGGTCGACACAGTGAGTTCCAGGACAGCCAGGGCTATACAGAGAAACCCTGTCTCAAAAAAACAAAACCAACCAACCAAACAAACAACCCACAAAAACAAAAAACCCAAAACATACATATAAATTAATTAATATAAGTAAATTAAAATATAATATAAATTTATATATTAATAAAAATCAGGCTGGGTGGAGAGCTGTATCGATGAAATGCTTGCTGCACCTTTCAGTTCCCCAGAATCCACCAAAAAAAGCCAGGCCTGGTGGCAAATGTCCTAGTCCTAGCCCTGGATATATCCATAGCTTGCTGGTCAGCTAGCCTCGTCTAATCAGCAAGCTCCTGGCCAGTGAGACCTTTTCTCCACCACGTGGCTGGCTCTTGAAGTTGACCTCTGCCTCCACACATGAACACAGGCATGCCTGCATGCAAACACACACATCTGCAGAAGTAGCAGATGAATGTTTTTAATTGGCAGCATTTAAAATAACTTTAAATGTTAAGAATAAATTAAAAAACCAAACAAAGAGAGTAAGTACATCTTACAGTTTGTTTTGAAATTTAGTCCCCACATTATGGTTCGGTCCCAGCTTTCCCATAATGCACTCATGTATGTTAATTTTATCTTCATTGATGACAAAATGTTGAGGAAGGGTAAACAGATAAAACTAAGTCAAGAGCAGGCTGTTTCTCTATTCCCATTACCAAAGGTGACTGAGCTTGGTGCAGACTCCCTCTGGAGACCAATACATTTGGTAAAAGGTTTTGCTAATCTGCACCATGGCCCCAGCTATGCCACTCTATCTTTAGTGCTTCCACAATCCCTTGTGTGTACATGCATGTGTGCACCTGTGCACGCACACACCCTGTGCCCACAGACCTGCCATTTTCAGTATCCCAGCCCCATCTTCCAGATAACCTTGGAGTGGTAAGGCCCCTCTACCCAACTTGTGCTGGGAAAATGAAGTTCAATATTGCGGTGTCTCCTATTAGCTTCCCTCATCTTTTCCAAAAAACCCAGGTTCATCAAAAAGCACATAATCAAGCCGGAACCCTGAGCCCTTCTCCAAACTCAGCCCGTTCACGGCATGAGCAGGTAGTAACGCACACAGACCCTGAACCGTTTCCTGACTGCAGAAGTGTGCAGAAATCTCAGGTTCCTTTCCCAAGTGTGTCCTCCGTGGGTGAGGCAAGCTGCCAAATCGGGACCAGGTCGTATCTTTCAAGAATTTCTGATGGAGGCACCTGGGTTTTCCCAGAAGTGACCTTTTGGGGTCAAAGGGAAATTCAGAGCTTCACCTTTTTCACTTCTGGAATCTTTTGCCTAGTGCTATGGGGCTTTAACGTCTTGTGTGATATCTTGCATTCTGACCATTAAGTTTGCTTTGAGTCAGAAGGCAGAGTTAGCCACTAGCTGATCAAATTAACCATAGAGATTTTGGAGGACTGAGGACAGATAGGAAACAGGAAGTAAGGAGGTGGGTTGAAAGAATCTCGGACTTTTGGATGGAGAAATGGAAGATACAGGAGGTCACTGGTAGCTTCTCTGCCACTTCTCTGATCATTCAGATTCTTATCTCAATATCTGACTCCCAACTTTTTATTGATAATAAAAAATAAAAAAATAAAGAATAATTTGATAAATGCTCCACTAATCGTAGGGCGGCTGGGTCTTCTATCTTTTTTTCATTGGTGGAATGAGTGCTGCTATCTGAGGCGAGGACTTGCCGCAGTCACTCTTTCCAGATTCCGCACATTTCCCAATGAGTGCTGCTATCTGAGGCGAGGACTTGCCGCGGTCACTCTTTCCAGATTCCGCACATTTCCCAATGAGTGCTGCTATCTGAGGCGAGGACTTGCTGTGGTCACTCTTTCCAGATTCCGCACATTTCCCAATGAGTGCTGCTATCTGAGGCGAGGACTTGCTGTGGTCACTCTTTCCAGATTCCGCACATTTCCCAATGAGTGCTGCTATCTGAGGCGAGGACTTGCCGCAGTCACTCTTTCCAGATTCCGCACATTTCCCAATGAGTGCTGCTATCTGAGGCGAGGACTTGCCGCAGTCACTCTTTCCAGATTCCGCACATTTCCCAATGAGTGCTGCTATCTGAGGCGAGGACTTGCCGCAGTCACTCTTTCCAGATTCCGCACATTTCCCAATGAGTGCTGCTATCTGAGGCGAGGACTTGCCGCAGTCACTCTTTCCAGATTCCGCACATTTCCCAATGAGTGCTGCTATCTGAGGCGAGGACTTGCCGCAGTCACTCTTTCCAGATTCCGCACATTTCCCAGTTGTGTCACAGCCTGGCAATCTAGACTCAAACATTTTTCTGTCACACACAAAGAGCTTTCCTGTCCCCACCCCATTCTCATTTTTCTAAAATTTGAACCACAGAACAGAAAAAAAAAAAACAAAAAAAAACCATGTCTGAATAAAAGCATGAATATATTTCCTCCAGGGAATCTTCTCTTTTACAGCAGCAAGATACGGAGGACACAGGCGCTGGGGTGCAGCTCAGTGACAGGCTTACCTAGGTGCATGAGGTCCTGAGCTCAGTCTCTGGCACCATGGGTGGAGTTGGGGGTCGTCCTGGCTCGAGCTTCAGGCGTGGTGTTTACTTGGCCTTGCCATCCCCTTAACTGAAGCAGCACTCTCTGGGTGTGCAGAGTCCAGGGCTGTTTTTGTTTAGTCTCTGCCCTGGGTCACAAACTGAACAAATGAAAGAGCTGGAAAGACAACATAGTCTTTCAAATCATCTCCAGTCCTTCTGGGCTTTAGCTACTTCAAAAACCACACCGCCTCTGGTTGCCTGTAGAGCGTGCTGTGGAAGACCTTTGCTCCACTTTCTTCACCCCTTCAAGAGCTTACAAAGATAAAACCATAACTTTTGGGCTCCGTGATGGAGCACTTGCCTACCATGTGTGAGGCCCTGGGTTCCACCTCTAGCAACAACTGCTACCAAAGTCGACTTTTCCTACCACAAAAGAACACACCTATAGGGGCTGGAGAGGGATCAGAGCCTGTCGTCCAGAAGACTCAAGTTTGAGTCCCAGCACCCACATGGCAGCTAGCCACAGTCTGGAACTCCGGTTCCAGGGGATCTGACACCCTCTTCTGGCCTCCACAGGAACTAGGCAGGCATGTTGTGCAAAGATGTATATGCAGGCAAACACTTATAATAATAAAATTTAAAAAAGAATATACCTACACACAAATTCAAAAACATTATTTATGTTATTTTTCTGTGGGGACAGAAGCAATTCAAATGTGAGTTTAGATACTAAGATAAATCACCCCAGGCACATTTGGCAGTCCCTGTAAATGCAACATCAATGAGCCACACGCTGGAAAGTGTTTGCTCCTACAGCCATGGAGAAAATGACCCCCACCAAACAAATCAGCCCCTTCCCTCAGCTTTTCATAGTTCGCCTCTCATCAATCAACATGTTCCTTAGACCTCTGCTTTGTCAAAGAGACAGTCTCCATGTGTTTCCCAGGTTGTTAGGAAAAAGTGACGCTCTTGCCTCAGCCTTCAGAGTAGCTGCACAAGTGCGGGTACAGGGTATTCTATCCAGGTTACACTGACATTTTTGGTTGTTCATTAGTAGGAACCTCTGTTATTAACAGGAACTCCTCAGAGCTTCTTCGCCGTACGAGGTGGCCCTGGAGCGGGCTCTGCCACCTCCTCTGCAGTCGATCTCTGGCATGCCCTTCAGCTGCTTGGGAGGGATCTAGATGGCCTGACTTGAGCTAAGCAGCCAGGGAAGAACAGGTCTGTGTTTCCACCCACGTCTTAATCATGTGGTGGGCAACAGCTAACTTGGGGGGCAGCAGCAGTGGGAGAGCATCACTCTGTTGCTCAATAAAGGAGCCCTTTCTCATCAGGGCTGCGGCCACCTCATCCAGACTGAACCAGGCAGCTGCTTCTAGTTCTCTCAGGTTCACCTGGATCTGGAAGACAAGGGGGAGGGGGCGAAATTAGAAGATATAAAATTTAAAAATACTAGGCCTAAAGTGAGAAAATGCAAATAAAACTATGTTTTCTCAAATGATAACATCTGGCATTGATGGGCTAGGTTAAAACCAGAAACACAAGAGAGAATTAAATGTATTTTTAAATAGTTCTTTAAAAAAGTATAAATTTAAAAATTCTTATTTGTACAAGGCTAAGAACATTTGTTAAGCCTGGTTTCAGTACCCAGCGTACATACGCATAAAATCCCAAAGTATAGACACTAAAATACTGAGTGGTAAGTTATAATTAATTGTGTCTGCATCAACTGTATAACTCGTTCAATTAAAAAGCAGGCACAGGGTCGGCAAGCTGGCTCAGCAGGTAAAGGCTCTTGTTGCCAAGGCTGAGGACCTCCACCTGGTCCCCAGGACTCACACGAGATGTGGGGGAGAACGGACGCCCACAGCCTGTCTCTGATTTCCACCATGGGCACACACAAACACATCTGTACAAACGCTTCTCTAAAGGGTAAAGGTGAATGATGACTAACAGCAAGAAGCAAAGTAAACACAGACTGTTCCAGGAAGTGGAGCAGATTAGAGCCCATAAAAATCAGACGACAGAATAGGCAAACTAGATAGGCAGGGCCTTCGGTGACTTCCATCTGTCAGACATGCTACAGACAACTGAGGTGGATTTAGGTAAGACATCAAAGTCCCTTTCAACCAGAAGTTCCTAGAGTTTTATATCATTACTCCTCAACATCCTGAATTCCCTGAGCAGTAAGACCAACTCCCAAATTGTTAAGTGAGGTGTGTGTATTCTGTCTCTATATAAGGTACTGTTAAAAACTGAAGGTGAGGCCGGGTGGTGGTGGCACATGCCTTTAATCCCAGCACTCCGGAGGCAGAGACAGGTGGATCTCTAAGAGTTTGAGGCCAACCTGGTCTTCAGAGCAAGTTCCAGTAAAGACTCCAAAGCTACAGAGAAACCCTGCCTCGAAAAACCAAAAACCAAACCAAACCAGAACTGAAGGTGAAAAATCTCAACATAAATGGGGTTGGCACACTGGATACACATGGAAAGAGTGAAACTGTCCTCTTTCCACAAAAAAAAAAAAACACAAAATGTATCGAGAATTAACTGTACATTTAGGACCTCACATAAACCTCTTAGAAGAAACCTCTATCACTGTTTTGTGATACTGGGCTGGGCACTAACTTTTTTTAGGTGTGCCATTAAAAGCAAAGGCAGGAAAAGCTAAAGCAGACAGGATGAGATCAGAATAAAAAGTCAGGCAGTGGGGGCACACTCTTTTAATCCCAGCACTTGGAGGCAGAGGCAGGAGGATCTCTGTGAGTTTGAGGCCAGCCTATTCTCCCTAGTGAGTTCCAGGACAGGCAGTGCTACACAGAGAAACTCTGTCTCAGAAGAAAAAAGTTTCTATACAGCAAAGGAAACACAAAATGAAAAAGCATCCCACGGGATGTGAGAGAATGTCTGCAGAACAAACAGCTCATAAAGAATATCCAGACTATGTAAAGGATCCCTTGCAGCTCAGCACCACAGAATGGGAAGAGCTCGGCGGTAGCTCTTCCTGTGAGATCCTGTGTTCAATCCCTAGCACTGGGAAAAACAGGCAACACCCGAATAGATGGTTCTTAGAAGAAATGCATATGACATACAAATATATGGAAGAATACAGAGTGTCACTGATCAGAGAAATGCAGAGCAAAGTCAAGATGGCTGCAACCTTCTAAGGTGGTGTGATGGTTTGGATGAGAATGGCCTCCATAGGCTCACATGTTTAAATGCTTGGTCCCCAGAAGGTGGGACTGTTTGGGAAGGGTTAGGAGGTGTGGCCTCATGAGAGGAGGTGTGGTTTCAAAAGCCCATGCCATTTCTCCTTATTCTCTCTCCCTCCTGCTTGTGGACCGGCTGTCATCCCTCAGCTACTTCTCCAGCACCACGCCTTCCTCCCATGATAGTCACCGACTCACCCTCTGGAACTGTTAGCAAGACCCCAGTTTACAAGTTATTTTACAAGTTGCCTTGGTGTCTCTTCACAGCAATAGAAAGGCAGCTAAGTCAGATGGCTACTATCAAAAAAACCAAGAAGTCTGTCATCATGACATACCTGTAACCTCAGCACTTGGGAAGCTGAAACAGGAAGACCCTAAATTTGAGGCAAGTCAGAGTGACACAGTAAGTTGAAGGCCAACCTGGGCCTTACAGTTAGAGCCTGCCTCAAAAATGAACACATGAACAACAGATGCTGGCAAGGATATGGAAATGGAGGGCCACTATAAACGATCGGCAGAAGCGTAAATTGGTGCAACCACTGTAGTTCTATATATGGAAGTTCTATAAAAAAATAAAAATGTTGCCCTGGCCTTTAACCCAGCACTGGGGAAGCAGAGATGGGTGGAGCTCTTGGAGTTTCAGGCCTGTGTGGTCTACATAAGTAAATTTTAGATCAGCTAGGGATACACAGTGAAATCCTATCTCAAAACAAAAATTTAAAAAGTAGAACTATTATTTGATCCAGCAATCCCACTTCTGACCACATAATCCAACTGTACTGAAATCAGGATGTCAAAGGCACCTCTCCATTCTTATTGTTACATCCATGATATAAAAACAGTCTAGGCTGGGCGGTGGTGGCGCACACCTTTAATCCCAGCACTTGGGAGGCAGAGGCAGGCGGATCTCTGTGAGTTCGAGACCAGCCTGGCCTACAAGAGCTAGTTCCAGGACAGGCTCCAAAACCACAGAGAAACCCTATCTCGAAAAACCAAAAAAACAAAAAAACAAAAAAACAAAAAAACAAATAAAACCAACCAACCAACCAAACAAACAAACAAAAAAACAAAAAAAACAGTCTAGATGTATGTCAAAAAGGAAAGTGTGACACATTATAAACTAGTATTGAGAGGTTTTGTTTGCTATTTTTTTGAGATGGTCTAATGCAGTCCTAGGTTGCCTTCAACTTGCAATGTCAACCAAAGCTGGCCTTGAACTCCTGAATCTTCCTTCCTCTGCTTCCCAGGTACTGATGTAACAGGCATTTGTCACCCTGGCTGGCATTACTGAGTTTTTTAAAGGAAGGAAATCAAACATTTATAATAAGATGATGGGCCTAGAAGACATGCTAAGTAGAATAAGCCTTATGCAAATCTACACGGTCTCAGTGCTCGGAGACTCTAAAATAGTCAAACATGTAAGGCAAAGAGTAGAGTGCCCAGAAGGAGGGGGAAATGGGGAAGCAGTGGTCAAAGGATATAAAGTTTCACTTAAACATACTAAGTTGTGGAGGTCTGTACAACACTCACAGTTAGCAATATTCTGCTGAATACATTAAAATAAAGCTTATGTTCATTGCTCTTAGCACAGAGGAAAAACAGGGGCACAGGAAATGATGGGTAAAGTCTATGACACTGCCAGTCATCTGACTGTGGGCTCCTAATACAAGCTCTCTCCAAACCCAGCAAGTTAGATGCATTAGATGTCTACAGATGGCTTTAAAATCAAACAGGGTCTCATGTAGTCTAGGCTGGCCTCGAATATTCCCTCCTGCCTCCACCTCGTAAGTGTTGGGATTATGAGCAGGACTACCAGTTTGGGTTGACATGGTGCTTGAGGACTGAACCCCTAACTTGGTGTATGTTAGGCTCGCACTCTGCCATTTGAGCCCCACCCCCAGTCCATCAGCAGACTGGGTGTTAATGATGTTTCTACAAAGCAGCTCAAAGGGAAGTTGTGTCATAGCTGAGACACAGCAAGGGGGAATGGTGATTATTTGTTCCAGCCTCAGGTGCATGTTCCTTCACGACACTGATTATCTTCTATACTGCCATATAACCCGGACAGTTTCCTTAAACACATGCTCAGAGAGCACTCAGTGGCCTGTGAAGGGGACACCACAGCGTAAGGTAAAGTTCAGAATTTACCTCCGTCTGCCCTGGTTTCACGGTTGCATGACAAGCAATCATGAGTGAGCTATTGGGAAAGGGCCAGTGCTGGGACGTGGAGTACTGCAGGTTTTCCACTTCCAGGCCCACCTCTTCTGCAACTTCTCGCCGGATGGCCTCTTCCACACTTTCACCTGAAAGCACTCAGATTAATTCCAGACAGCCAGGGAGCAGGACAATTATACGTCCTCTACTGTGTGAAAGGAGTCTGAACGCGCTGCTCCTGTGAGGTCCCGAGTCTCAGTCCCCAGCACGAGGAATTAGCAAGTGCTCAAGTCTAGTGGGCTGGTTTTGATGCTGGTGAGTGTAGCTGTGGGGGATATGGTGCCCTCAGCCGCATGACAGTGCCATTTTCACTGTCTGTAGACTTTACCCAGTAAAGAGATAACCGCATACGGAAAAGCAGTGTCAGTAGGCATGGGAATCCAGTGAGCAGTGTTGTGTGTGCTGAAAGACTCACTAATGTCTGTAATTGGTTCATCAGGAAGTAAGACGGGTTGATGGCCGGGCAGACAAACGGATATGTGGGAAGAGTGTACTAAAGATTATAAAACTAAGGTGGTGGGTGAAGGGTACCCACTGGGTCATTCTTCCCGCTATGCTGCATGTGTGAAACTTTGCCTCCTGCTATGCAGGAAAATCATACATGATTCCAGGAAAGTTTTCTTGACATGAGGATGCATGTCTGTGACTCGAGCATGGTGGCAACAGGACGTGTCACCTGCAGCTCCTCCCTTGAACCCCTCACCTATATCACAGAAGCCTGCCAGGGCAGAATACAGTCCCTTGGGAAAGGAGCTCTGGCGGGCAAGTAGGCACCGGGCTCCATCTGTCACCAGGGTGATCACCACAGGGGCCATCTAGGAAAGGAGAACGGAAACTGAGCTGCCGCCATTTTAGGGCCTAGAAGACAAAAGGAACAGGCAATCATGGAAGCCTTTTGAGCACACAGGCTTCCTTCCCCACGGCAGAGTGGCAGCAGCTTTCTTGGAATACTGTCCTCAATTTTCTTTTTCCTCTTTTCTCATTTTACATAGCAAATTCTAGGATAGCTAGGGCTACATAGAAAGACCCTTTTTCAAAAAACAAAGAGAAATATTTTTGAGATAAATTTATTTGTTTTTGTTTTTTAATTTATTTTTTGTTTTGTTTTGTTTGTTTGTTTGGAGACAGGGTCTCTCTACATAGCCCTGGCTGTCCTAGAACTCACTGTGGAGACCAGGCTGGCCTCAAATTCACAGAGATCTGCCCACCTCTGCCTCCCAAGTGCTGACCACAATGTCTTTTATCTGTATGAATGTTTTGTCTGTATGTAGGTATGTGCCCCATATGCATGTCTGGTGCCCAAGGAGGCCAGAAGAGGGTATTGGATCCCCCGGAACTGGAGTTACAGACTTGTGAGCTGCCATGTGGGTGCTGGGAACCTTTGGAAGAGAGCAGCCCGTGCTCTTAACTGCTGAGCCATCTCTCCAGCCACCTGTTTTGGTTTTTGTGAAAGTATCTCAGGTAGTCCAGGCTGCCTTCTCCCAGGTACTGTGCCCCACCTGTGGATAATAGATGATGTTATTGGAAGGACACACTCGCTTGCTGCCAGCCACGTTCTTCTTAGTGGGCTGCCCACTTTTGCTGCAGAACTGATGACCATCATGCCAGTGGAGAAGAGCCCGAGCCTAGAGACACAAAGGAAGGTCTGGCTTTAGAGAAGGTGTCTAGACCAATTCGAAGGGGAAACATTTTCTAGCTCACTTATTTCATAAAGTTGTTCAATTGTATTATTAATAGTGTGTGGGGGGGATGGTACATGTGCCGTGGTGCATGGATGGGTCGGAGGAGAACTTGCTGGAGTTGGTTCTCCCCTTCCACCTCTAAGAGGGTCACCCCAGGTCACCAGACTTGTACCTGCTGAGCATCTCACTGGCCCTAGCTCACCTACTTCAAGTGGCCTTAGACTGGAAAATAAGGAAATGACCTAAATATATTTTCCTAGCATCAAAGTCTAAGAGAAAGCATATTTTATGTACTTTTTATTTTATTTTTTGTTTTTTGGAGTGCCGGAAATCTATAGCTTTGCATACACGAGTAAGTAATCTTCCATTGAGCTATATTCCTAGCTTAAAAGGTATTTTGAAATGCACTATGAATTTCTTAAAACATAAAGATATACAGCAATATAATACACACCCATAAAATGTAACCCAGCTTAAGAAGAAAACATTTCAATTTCTATTATAGCTAAAACATTTCTTTCCTACTCATTCCTCCTCAATGAAGTTGTGATTTGTGTGTGTGTGTGTGTGTGTGTGTGTGTGTGTGTGTGTGCACGCAGGTCAGGAGAACCAGGTCTTGCCTTCCACCTTGAAGTGGGCCTCCCTGGCTTTGCCATGCAGTGTACTCCAGGCTAATGTCTCTGCCTGAGACCCCGCCATAGAAGTGCTGGGATCCTAGCAGCAGACCACGGCAGCTGGCTTTACAGGTTCCCCGGGTGGAACTCAGGTCAGGACTGGGCAGCAGGTGCTTGCATCCACTGTTTCCCAACTCAACTTGTGATTTTCTTTTCCCACCTAAAAAAGGCTTTGGGGTTTCTCTTTAACTCAGAACAAACAATAAAACACCACAGCAGACAGGTGTGTTGTGCCTGTAATCCCAGCTCTGGGAAATGGAGACCAGAGGACCAGGAGATCAAGACCATCCTCAGCTATATAGGAAGCTGAAGGCCAGCCTGGGCTACCTGAGATCCCATCTTTAAAGTTAAAGGTTGGTATGGTGATAAATGTTATCAACTTGACAGGATTTAGAATCCCCATGGAAACAAACTCTGGGACATGTCTGGTAAAGATTATCTAGTTAGGTTCACTGAGGTGAGAAGACCCACCTAATTGTGTCCAGCACCATTTCATGGGCTGGGGTCCTGGGCCGAATAAAAAGGAGACACCAAACTGATCCTTCATCACTCTGCCACCTGACTGTGATATAATGTGACCACCGACCTCAACCTGCCATGACTTCCCCACTACGATGGACTATCACAGTAGCAGGAAAATCATTAATAATCCTAATACTACATACACCAGGCATCTGAAAGCATGATTGAAATACTGGTAATTCAGGAGGCAGAAGGATCACAAATTCAAGGTCATCTTCAGCTACATAGTGAGTTCAAGATCAGCCTGGGGTAGGTAAGATCCTGTTTTTTTAAAAAAAACCAAAAAATAAAACAAAAAAAATTAAACAAACAAACCAACAATAAAAATTAACTAGTGGAATCTAAAGCCATGAGAACAAGTTATTGGAGCAAGGTAAAATTATTTTTCATGTGAAACATGATATATTTCATGCAATGGAATTAAAAAATGTTTATGAGGTTGGGCTGGAAAGATGGCCCCATGGTTAAGAATACATACCGGCTGGGTGGAGGTGGTGCACACCTTTAATCCCAGCACTCGAAAGGCAGAGGCAGGCGGATCTCTGTGAGTTTGAGGCCAGCGTGGTCTACAGAGCAAGTTCCAGGACAGCCAAGGCTACACCGAGAAACCCTGTCTCAAAAAACCGGAAAAAAAAAAAAGACTACATACTTCTCTTTCAGAGAACCAGAGTTCTGTTCCCAGCACCTATGGCCTGTAAATGTTTACACTACTTTTAAGTCCATCTCATGCAGCAGTGGTGACCCCTTCTGGCCTCTGCAGACACATACACTCATATGCACACCTACACTCAGGCATATACGTACATACAATTAAAAATAAAATCTTTATTTATTTATTTTTATTTATTTATTTATTTTTTTTCGAGACAGGGTTTCTCTGTGGCTTTGGAGCCTGTCCTGGAAGTAGCTCTGTAGACCAGGCTGGTCTCGAACTCACAGAGATCCACCTGTGAGTTTTAGCCACCATCGCCTGGCTAAAAATAAAATCTTTAAAAAGCGTTTATGATAGGTTGCAGAGATGGTTCAGTGGTTCAATTCCTAGCACCCAGATTGTAGCTCACAACCATCTGTAACTGAAATTCCAGTGGATCTAACTCTCTCAAACACCAATGCATATAAAAATAAAAAAATTTTAAAAGCATTTATGAGATAAAGTATGTAAAACATATATTAATAAATAACAATCAATATTTATTTAAAAATATGTAGAGAACGTTGCTATGCTCTTAGGAGTTAAGTATTCACGGTAGCTCTGCTAAAAGCAAAACAAGGAAGAGTAAACCATCTTCCCAGTCCACTGTCCTCTGCCAATGTCAGGAAGGTCTGTGTAACCCCAGGACTGTGTGCACATGCGCATTTGCCCTCACACAGCTTTCTCATACTTTCTAGGGAACTAGAAATCAAAGTACCGTGAACAGCAAGGAGGAATCCATGGAGCTCAGCTGAGAAAGAGCCCGCCTCAGACTGACGAAAGAACCTCCGAGCTCTGTCTCCACTTCAGGTTCTGTCAGGAGGGTAGAAAATTGGAAAAGAGAACATGATTAAACACATGTCCACCGTCCACCTTTGCCTCTGCAAAGTCCCTCCTGCAGAACTCTGTTTCCAAACTTGCCTACGAGACGCATCTAGGATTTGGGAACTTACACAGGTTCCCAGGCTTCTATCTGGGGAGCGGGGGTGGAATGCATGCTCATGCACAGGGTACGGGCTCCCAAGTCTGATTTTTGGAAGATTAGAGATGTGATTCTTAGGTTAGTCTGGGAAATGGAGAGCACAGTACTACTCCAGATCCTCCAGAGTGGTCAGGACCAGCAGCACAGTCCTTGGAAACAGAGATGGGATGTCGAAGCTCACTCCACCACCATTCCACTTTCACTAGACACTGAAGAAAGAGGAAAAGCACGGGAGGATCCAAACTGACTCTAGAGTGCAGGGTGGAGGACCAAGAACCACTCCATGGAAACTCTCGGCAGGCTGGCCTCATCCTCTGTGTAGAGGAAGACAATCTGTAGCTCCTCAAGTGCTGGGATTACAAACATGTACTAACATGCCGACCTTCCGCTGCTTTTTAGCTCCCTCCCCTCAAAAACTCACTATGTAGGCTACGATGGCCCAAAACTCTCCTTTCTTACTCTCTTTTCAGTGATGACAGTGTTTTCCTTATTTAAAGGGAAAAATTGGTAATGTTTTTGTATGTGTAACATTTTCTTTAAAGTGGTTTTATGCAGAACCCTAAAATCAGGGAGGTACCTAGCAGGAAAAGGGGTACACACTATGGATGGAGGAGGCGCTACTCAGACCTAGATCCAGAGCAAACCACGCTTCACGCTGGTTGGAGCATCCAATCAGCACTGAATCTTCTATTCTTTGTGAATCCTGTCCAAACTTGCCCAGCAGCCTCTCCAACTCTAAACAGCAAAAAAGAAGACGGAGAGGAAAAGTGAGACATGAATTTTAGTCACATCATCGCAGCCATGTGAGACCCCCAGGAGGTGCTTCTGCTTAAAATACATAGTTGCTACCTCAGGACCAGCTGGGTCTGTTACAGAGTATCTTACATACCAAAATTTGCATGTGCTTCAATCTCTCAAATAAAATAACATAGTATTTGCCAATACTTTAGATAGCTCTTGGTTGCTTAAAATATCAAATAACAATGCAACTATGTACATAACTGTTTTACACTGTTGTTTAGGGAATAATAAGAATGAACACCTGACCATTTTTAGTATATCATATATTTTTTTTATTGGTATTTACCCTTAATTCAATGGTTGCAGGATTTTTTTCTCCCTGAATAAAATTAATTTTGAGACCCTTTATAGTACATATAATTAGAGATCTACACCTTTTGAATTTGGGGATTTTATTTTTGAGATTCAAGTGTGAATTAAAAATATTTTTTAAGCTGACAGCAGGGGACATATTCATTCAAGGAATGAATATGGCGTGCTATGACACAGTTTCATTCACAAAATGGGCAGTGGTCCAGCCCACTTGAACAGCAGTTTCATGGACTTCTGCTGAAGTCACTTACAGTTCACATTCCCACCAAGAATATCTACCTAATTCAAGTTCATACAATAAGTTATTAATTAGCAGAAATAGTTATGTAAGCCTGAGTCAAGAGCTGTTAGAAAAATCTGAACTATTTAAAATGCAAGGATATCTTTTGGAGCTCCAATGTGACCTGAATCCTACCTAATGGCCAAAGCCTCATCTGCTCCTCTGTGCACTGGTTGACCTTACCTGCTCGGCTAAGCCGGGGGACCAGGTATTGCCGTCCTGAAGTCTGCAGCAAAGGAGCCAGATCGTGAAAGAGGTAAAACACTCCAGTCTGCCGAGCTTTCCTACAGGCCTCGTCATCTTCCTTCAATTCAAATAAATATCTGTATTTGGGGAGTAAGCATCGAAAGACCAGACTTAGACCAGTGAGGGGACCAAGCCTGACAACCTGAGCTCAATCTCTAGAACCCACATGGGAGAAGGAGAAAGCCAACTCCCTTGAGTTATCCTCTGACCTTCACATACAGGCCAGGACATACAGATACAGTCCAAGTTAAATAAACAAGCAAACATAAATAAACCAAACTTGGTTCTTTGTCTATCATTCATTTGGGGGAGTTCTTAACTCTCGTGTGTGTGTGTGTGTGTGTGTGTGTGTGTGTGTGTGTGTCAATTCTCTTCTCACCTTTATCACTAAGTTGCCCTGGCTGGTCTTGAACTCACTTCAGCAAAGCCTTGAATATAATCCTCCTGCTCTAGCTTCTCACGTAGCTGTGACTACAGGACTGTGTCATCATGACAAGCTCCACACTCATTTCCTTTCATCCCAGTTTGCTTCAAAGTTGAGGTGGCTACAGGTGACCATGTACCAGATCTGGTCTTCACCCTGCACTCCCGTCCACCCTTCTGTGGGCCACCGAACCATTTGTTCACTGCCCATCTCTGCAGAAAGACTGGCTTCTTTAAGGACAGGGTCAGCTATTCTTGGCTTTTCATCTCAGTAATCAGCATATGAAATGTTTTAGTTCAGCGGTATTTATTGGCTTGAACTTGAAGGGCAATAAAACTCACTGAATTATACCTTAAGGAACTTGGCCAACTCTCCACAGTGAGGCAAGTATTAGCAGGCAGGGACTGAAAGGAAGAGGAATACAGACCCACAGATGGGGGCAGGCTGCGCTCACTGGCCTTTAGGAATTTTCATTTAATCTAGCCCCCCTGGCTTGGAAGCTGCATTAGTCTGGACTCCAAATCCCAGCATGCCATAGGGGAGGGGTCAGGACCATTCCCACAGGGTATTTAAGTAGGGTTCCAGAGGAGAAACACGTGGTTCCGGGTTTACATGTGCTCCCTGCTTTACTGTCTCCCCACCATGTGCTCGGCCACCAGAGAGCGCCGTACTTAATAAAAACGATGGACTTTTTGATTCGGTTTGATTTGACCTACTTAGATTTCTTTGTGTTGGCAGAGCCGTTGCTCTTAATTTTTTCTTAACATGTTTCTCTCTTCTCTTCTTCTTCTTCTTCTTCTTCTTCTTCTTCTTCTTCTCTCTCTCTCTCTCTCTCTCTCTCTCTCTCTCTCTCTCTCTCTCTTTTTAAGACAGTCTTTCCACATAGCCCTTGTTGCCCTGGAACTCACATAGATCCACCACCTCTGCCTCCTGAGTCCTGGGATTAAAGGCATGTTTCACCTCTATGTCTGGTCCAGTAAATTTTCTTAATCCTCATTTTTATTTTGGTTACTGAAAATATTACCAATATGAGTTAGGTTAAGAATAGGCTTTACTGGTGGTCCCTCTGGTTAAGTCTGGAGCATAGCCCCCAGTCCCTGGCATCCATCCCAGCCCCCCTGGCTTGGGAGTTGTATTAGTCTGGACTCCAAATCCCAGCATGCCCTGAGGGAGGGTCAGGACCACTCCCAAAGGGTATTTAAGTGGGCTCCCAGAGGAGAAACATGTGGTTCCGGGTTTGCACGTGCTCCCTGAAGAGTCCAAGAATAAGAAAATAAAAATGTAGATTCCAGAAATAAGAATGTAGAAAAAAAGAAATATAAAGTTCTTGGAGAATGAGAGCAGACTATCAGCAGCTTTCTTAGCAGATCAAGGATCACTCATTCACAGTGAGCTATTTTCTAGGATGTTTGGGAAACTTAGGTCACTTCCTTTTACAATTAGCTGTTTTATTTACAAGACCAGAGCTCCCTGCAAACTGAGAGTAGTGTCCTGGCCATCCTTGATAAATGACAGATGTGAACTGAGTTAACCTTTAGGAGACTGGGTTAGGCACTGTCTCTGTTATGGGAAACTGTCGCCACCAGAGGAGAGGCATGGGGCTCCGGTATACACCTGGAGGTACCAGGAGACAGTGGACAAATACAATAGCTTAATTAATGAGCTCTGATAATGGAGGTTGTAAAGTATGGCAGTCAGTAATCTGAGTTTTACCTTGAGATACTGTAAAGAACTTTCTGCTAAGTTTTCAGCCTAAGAACCAATTATTCTGATTTATCAACCTTCTAGTAGTACTAGCAGCCCCTTTTCTGACTAATTGCTAAAGACATCTGTTTTCTTTTCTTTTTTTTCTTTTTTTGGTTTTTCGAGACAGGGTTTCTCTGTGGTTTTGGAGCCTGTCCTGGAACTAGCTCTGTAGACCAGGCTGGTCTCGAACTCACAGAGATCCGCCTGCCTCTGCCTCCCGAGTGCTAGGATTAAAGTGAAAGACCCTACAGACCCCCCTCAAAACCCGCAGCTAGCATGCTCCTGTGAGAACGCCCTGTTTGTTTGAAAGATTTTCAGGACCTGCAGCAAGCTGGCTCTCATGAGAACATTCTGTTTGCTTGAGACCCTCAGGACCCTCTCAGGACCTGCAGCTAGCCGGCTCTCATGAGAACATCCCGTTTGCTTAGGAAAACAGGATGCCTATAGTCAGCACATGTGCCAAACTTAGAATATCAGCAGTTCACAAAAGAAACAATTCCCCCTATGAAAGATCCCAGCTTAGCTGCTGTAACGTCATTTAACAAGGCTTTTGACGAACAAATGTAAGTGCGGAGTGAGGTCAGGGCCCCTGGCTGCAAAGCAGAATATCTGTGAGATAGGACATCTATACAACAGGATATCTGTTGCCATACATCTGTGCTGGGAAAGGAAAAACCACTTATGCCCCTTGCCTCATTCCAACCGACCACTAACCACGCATCTGCTTCTATAATGTGCTTTTGCCGCCCTCTTTCCTATAAAAAGACCTCCTCTCAGTCTGCAGGCGCGCAAGTCCTCCGAAAGACTTTGCCGCCCGCAGGTACCTGTGTTTATGTCCTGAGTTCAGGGGTCTTCGTCGGAGGGAAGGTCCTCTCCGAGGGTCTTTCAAAAGGCATGCACCACCACCACCCGGCTTTTTTTTTTTATCCGTTTTCTTGCAATTAGTGACTTTCGCTAAAATCTCCTCTAAAACATATTTCATGATAGCTGCCTAGTTACCCATTGACATTAAAACCCACTCCCCTCCTATGTTGACTGACCCACGGGTCAGGGCAAAATCGTAAAAATTCCTTTGTTTGGAGCTAATGCTTGGTGCCCCTACTATAAAAAGTGGGTTCAGAAACCGGCCTGGGGCCACAGCCTAACAAACACCATCTCTGGCTGTGGTCTCAGCACACTGATAAGCTTTTGTGCCCTGCGGTGTTTTGTTTTTTTTTATTTTTATTTTTTATTTTTAAGTTTGCTTCTGGTTTTCCTAGGATCTTGTTTTCTGGAATAAAGTTTGCTTCTGGTTTATTAGACTTGGTGGTGTTCTCATCTTTGCGTGACCCCCCCCCCCCCTTCCTGGACCCAACACTTGCCACTTTCCTTTCTCCCCTGTCATGGGCTTGGCCACACAAAGAAATCCAATTATGTCAAATCAAACCGAATAGAAATGCCCATCATTTTTATCAAGTATGGCGCTCTCGGGTGAAACATGCCTTTAATCCCAATACTCAGGAGGCAGAGGTGGTGGATCTATGTGAGTTCCAGGGCAACAAGCGCTAAGTGGAAAGGCTGTCTCAAAAAAGTAAAAAAAAAAAACAAAAAAAAACAAAAAACCTACTGGTTTCTCAAAAAGAGACAATAATAAAGCAAATTCTAGGCTTTTCTAGTACCTTCATTTAGGGTGGCTGTAATCTGTCTATAAGCTTTACAAATTGAATCAGAGTCCTTTTTTTTTTTTTTTTTTCCGAGACAGGGTTTCACTGTGGCTTTGGAGCCTGTCCTGGAACTAGCTCTGTAGACCAGGCTGGTCTCGAACTCACAGAGATCCGCCTGCCTCTGCCTCCCGAGTGCTGTGAATCAGAGTCCTTAAGATTCAGTAGCAGGGCGGGAGAAATGGCTCAGAGGTTAAGAGCACAGGCTGCTGCTCTTCTAGAGGTTCTGCGTTCAATTCCCAGAAACCACATGGTGACTCCCAACCATCTGTAATGAGATCTGGTGCCCTCTTCTGGTGTGCAGGCAAAACACACTATTCATAATAAATAAATAAAAATCTTATAAAAAATTAGTGGATGATTAAATGAGCATTCTCTTGGGGGCTTAATTATTAACCATTTAACTATTAAAACTCTTTAACCAAACTAGGGTGTATCTCAGAGTTAGAGTGCTTATTTGGCATGTAAGGCCCTGGGTCTTACATACAAAGGACAAAAAAAAAATTAAGCCCTAAAACAGACTCTCAATATTATGCAAATGGTCTGTTGTAGTCCCAGTTCAATTAAAAAATCAAAGCTGGCTTCGGAGTTGGAGTGTGGCTCTCTCCTTCTCTAAAGCCAAGCATGCTTGTTAAATTAAAATCCAAAATGTCTGTCTCACGTTAAAAGAGCCACCTGATATGGGATAGAAGAAAAACAAAAATTAAGTGACTATTTTATTGCCATTACTTCATAATTCTTTGGTTTTATTTTGACTCTTTAACAGGTTTTCTTAAGATGTAAACATTATCTAAAATTTATAGGATTAATATATATATATATATTAAACTTTTGTCATGATATTAATGGTCATATAGAATATTATATAACTCTGGAAAAAGGTAGGTTTCATCTACCTTCCTGTACATGATTTCAGGTTTGAGTCTCTATCAGTTTTCTGCAGTGAACCATGGCCATGCCTACCAGCAACCTCTGAAGTCTCCAAAAGGAGGATGGGGCCCCACAATGACAATTCCAGAAGAACCATGATAACACCACTAAGCTGAAAACCACCACCTAAAGATTGGTTTTGGGCTACAAACTACTCAGAACAATTTTGAGGTGGCTAGCTGAGATGATCCAGCCTCACAGACTACTCTAGCCAGGATATGAGACACCCTGCACTTTCCCATTATGCAAAGACTGGACAACAAATGATACAGCTACCTCTCCCAGGACTTGACAGTTAGCCAGCCTTTTCTTTTTGGGATTCCCTAAAGATGCCATCACCCCCAGACAGCAGGAAGTAAATATAAGAACACAACACCCACATGCCCAAGAGGTGGAATGGGTGGTTTTTAGTCTTTCATGGGGCTATGGATATTTGTCATAGTTTAGGGGGATTGGTTACAAATCATTATTGGTAATGGTCAGGAAAAAATTGAACAAAGGAGATTAGATTTAGAGTTCTTGTTTTGAAAAGAAAAAAGAAGGATATAGATTTGATAGGATAAAAGGGTAGATTATTGAATCTGCTCTGAAAAGAAAAAAGGGAGGATATAGATATAAGATAAAAGGTGGATTTCTGAATCTACTTTTTTTTTGGGGGGGGGTTAAATTTATTTATTTATTAAAGATTTCTGTCTCTTCCCCGCCACCCGCCTCCCATTTCCCTCCCCCTGCCCCATTAAGTCCCCCCCCCTCAGCCCGAAAAGCAATCAGGGTTCCCGGTCCTGTGGGAAGTCCAAGGAACCCCCACCTCCATCCAGGTCTAGTAAGTTGAGCATCCAAACTGCCTAGGCTCCCACAAAGCCAGTGCGTGCAGTAGGATCAGAAACCCATTGCCATCATTCTTGAGTTCTCAGTAGTCCTCATTGTCCGCTATGTTCAGAGAGTCCGGTTTTATCCCAGGCTTTTCCAGACCCAGGCCAGCTGGCCTTGGTGAGTTCCCAGTAGAACATCCCCATTGTCTCAGTGTGTGGGTGCACCCCTTGCGGTCCTGAGTTCCTTGCTCGTGCTCTCTCTCCTTCTGCTCCTGATTTGGATCTTGAGGTTTATGTCCGGTGCTCCAATGTGGGTCTCTGTCTCTGTCTCCTTTCATCGCCTGCTGAAGGTTAATATTCAGGAGGATGCCTATGTTTTTCTTTGGGTTCTCCTTATTTACCTTCTCTAGGATCCCTAATTATAGGCTCAATGTCCTTGGTTTATGGCTAGAAACCAAATATGAGTGAGTACATCCCATGTTCCTCTTTTTGGGTCTGGGTTACCTCACTCAGGATAGTGTTTTTTATTTCCATCCATTTGCATACAAAATTCAAGAAGCCCTTGTTTTTTACTGCTGCTGAATCTACTTTTAAAAAGCAACTACTAGTTTTTAATGTTTTACATTGGATTGGACTTTTGTATATTGTATACAAATTTTGTACATTGATACAAATTTAAGATTAACTTTGTTAGAACATATGCATATACATTTCTACTCTTGTTCAGGGTACTGTACCTATACAGCTCATTTAACATTGAAACACAAATTTCTAGTCCTTGAAAGTTGCTATTGTCAACTGTTTAGGATAATAAGGAAATGTAGGTTAGTAATGAATCACCTATTATAATTGAACTTGTAATCATATTAGGTATGTTTACAAGGTCAAACAGATATATTTTAAATAGACAGGTTATTTTTAAACACTTTAGAGAACTACAGAATATAGCATTTAAGATGTTTTAATAATAATATGGTTTTTTTTTTTAAAGACAGTGAGACAAATCTGCTCCTGGTAGCACTTCAGAGAAAATGATGGGCATATAAAAAAAAAAACAAAAAACAAACCTCCACCTGAAGTTTACATTATTTGTGGTGAAGTAAGCCACTGGGTAAGAAAGTACTCTGGCCTTGATTGCTAACTGTATGCTCTACATATTGGACAAGCAGGACACAAAAGAGAGTGACTGCCAAACTTTGTTAAGACAATGATGTGGGAGTGTCATATATCAATCTGTTGATTTCATTGGTTAAGCAAAAAAGAAACTGCTTGGCCCTGATAGGTTAAAACATAGGTGGGAGGAGTAAACAGAACAGAATGCTGGGAGGAAGAGGAGGTGAGCTCAGAGAGACGCCATGCTCTCCTCTCCCGGACAGAGGCAATAGCTCTGCTCTCTGAGGCAGACGCATGAAGCTCAGACCCAGGATGGACGTAGGCTAGAATCTTTCCCGGTAAGACTGATGCTACACAGATTATTAGAGATGGGTTGATCGGGATATGAGAATTAGCCTGTAAGGGCTAGAGTTAATGGGCCAAGCAGTGTTTAAAAGAATACAGTGTCCGTGTAATTATTTCGAGGCATAAGCTAGCAGGCGGCCGGGGTGCTGGGGACGCAGCCCCGCTGCTCCTACTACTACAAGACAAGGCAGAACAGTCCTTCAAAAATCCTGCTTCATAGAAAAGTCTGTCAGATATGCTAGGCCTTTAGGGCAAAGATGGATTCCCCAACATTGTAGAGGGACTCTAGGTGACTGTCCAGGCAGGCAGCCAGCTGTTTCTGCCATTTCTCAACATTTTTTTTGGAAGTTGCTTGCTTGCACTTCCTGTTTACTTAGTTAACACTGTTTCCTTCTTGGGTCTCTTAGGGAGTTGAAGACTAGATAGTTATAGTTTTCCTTGTTTATCAGACACAGAAAAGGACTCACTAAAGAGGTGTAAAGTGTATAAGGTTGAGAGACATCAAAAATAGTTTTGGGTAACAATACAAGTTATGATAAAAAGTAAGTTAGGGACAAGACTTTTGACTTACCAAGATAAGAAAGATAATGGAGATTTTCCTCTGAATTTGTCAAATGCAAATGGACTAGACACTATTGATGGATTTACTGCCTATATATATTATATATAGTTATTGTACTTATTGTATATTGTTTTTCTTATATTAGTTATAGCCTTCTTTTTTATTTTAGACAAAAAGGGGAAATGTAGTGATATTTTGTTTGTAATCTAACAAATAAAGCTTGCCTGAAGATCAGAGTGAAGAGCTAAGCCACTAGTTAGTCATAGAGGCCAGGTAGTGGTGGTGCACACCTTTAATTCCAGCATTTGGAAACCAGAGGCAGACAGATTTCTGTGAATTCAATGTGACCCTGGACTACACAAAATTGATCCAGTCTAAGAGAGAAAGAGACTCAGGTGGGTGGAGACTCACATCTTTAATCCCAGTACTTGAGAGTCACACACCTTTAATCCCACACCAGCCAGCGAGGTGGAGACAGGAGTGATATGGCTGGGTGGAGAGAGACAGAAGCTCACTGCAGTCTCAGCATGCAGTCCATCTGAGGACTTGTAGAGGCAGAAAGTCTCTCTAGTGGCTGGCTGTACTGTTTCTCTGATCTCTCAGTTTTGACCCCCTAATATCTGACTCCACGTTGTTATTATTAAGAACAATTAGAATTCATGCTACAGGATCCCTTAGTACTGAAGCTAAAGATGGTTGTGAGCTGCCATGCAGATGCTGGGAACCAAATCTGGACCTTCTGAAAGAGCAGCAGGTGCTCTTAACTGCTGAGCCTTTGCTCCAGCCTTTTATTTTTTAAATCTCCCTCTCCCTATTCTACCTTCTACTGAAGTTTATCTCTTTCGAATCCTTGCTGTTTCAAGAAACAAATTACACTATTCAATATAATTTACCTGTGTTTGTTAAAAATCACACTAAACAGGGCTGCTTTAACATCTCCCTTTCTGTGCATTCACCTAAAAGTATTTCAGTGCCTGTTATGTGGGAATCACAGAGGAAAGTCAAAGTATTAGCTGGATGTGGTTATGCACACAGGCAGTCCCAGAACTGGGGAGGCTGCAGCAGAAGAACAAGTGGTCAAACCATCTTGGACTATATAGTAAGGCGCTGCCTCAAGGGGACAGAGAGATGGCTCAGAGTTTAAATAGCACTAGCTGCTCTTCCAGAGGTCCTGAGTTCAATTCCCAGCAACCACATGTGGCTCACAACCACCTATAATGAGATCTGGTGCCCTCTTCAGGTGTGCAAGCAAACATGCAGGCTGAACACTGTATACATAATAAATAAGTCTTTTTTTTTTTTTAAAAAAAAAGATGGTACCTCAGATGACTCAGCCAGTAAAGTGCTTGCTCTGCCAACATGAAGACCCAAGTTTGGATCTGTAACACACAAAAAGGTTGGGCAGGGCTTTATAATCCCAGCGCCAGGGAGAGAGAGAGACAAGAGGATCCCTGAGGCTTGTTAGCTAGCCAATCGGTGACATCTAGGTTTAGCTGAGAGACCCCCAACTGAAAAAATAAGGTGGAGAACTAAAGAAACAGTTCTGTAGTTAAGAGCACTGGGTGCTCTTCCAGAGGACCTGAGTTCAGTTCATGGCAATCAACGTGGCAGCTAACAACCATCTATACAGTTCCACAGGATCTGGCACTCTCTTCTGGCTTCTGTGGACACTGCACACATGGTACATAAACATAAGCATAAATACCCATATATATAAAACTTTAAAAGACAGTAAGATGGAGAAGTGACTGAGAAAGATATCTGGTCAGCCTCTGCCTCCATATGCATAGGCACACCCAAGTACATTCACTCTTCTCCACATGTGTAGCCATAAATATGTACACACACATGAAAAAAATACAGCTGGACCCTGTCTCAAAACAAAAACAGTAACAACGACAAAAAGACAAAGCCCGTTCCTTTTCCTGCCCCTTCTTTCTCTTCTCCTCATCTCTTCCTCCTACTCTTCCTATTTCTTCTTCTTGAGAGAATGTTTCATGTAATCTGAGCTGACCTCAAATTCTCTATGTAGATGAGGAGAACCTTAAATTTCTGGTCCTCCTGCCTCCACCAGCTACATGTATCACCTCTTGGCCAAAAGGACAATACCGTATTTGAGTAGAACTTATAGTCAAGATTATGAAACATTTTCAATGTTGGAATTTTATTACTAAGTGGATTTCAAAGGTAAATAATTTACAGTGAACATTATGTGTAATTTTATCTCACACATTTAATTTTTAATATGGGATTTAAAAAAGAGTTTAGAGCTTAGTATTTTTAGGCTCAAAATAATCAGATTGGTCAGAACTCACCGTGTCTTGTTGACATAAGTTGACAGTAGCCTATAGCACCAAAAAGATTTCCTTCGGCAAATTGTTCCACAATACAGAGACATTGTTGGGTTCCTAGAGAAAAATGGAGGTTTGTTTGTTTTTAGGGTCACAGTATGCATTTAAAGTACTAAATTAACAAGAGTTATAGTTTAAGCTAGGCCAGAACCACTTTGCAGTATCAGGAAAAAACAAAAAACAACAAAAACCAAGACTCATATGGACAGGCTTTGACACTACTTTTGTTTTGTTTATTTGTCTGTTGCTTGTTTGATGGGGAACTTCCTTCAGCCAATGGCCTTTCAGAGGCTGGACCAGGTTGGGTGTGACTTTGGGGACCAAAAGCCTATGGGAGCACCTGCTCGGCCTCTTCCCATTCGCCACACCTGGATGTTGGACCCCATTCCTGTTTCCTTATTGTAATCCACGAATTTCCCTTTTTTTTTTTTTTTTTTTTGGTTTTTCGAGACAGGGTTTCTCTGTGGTTTTGGAGCCTGTCCTGGAACTAGCTCTTGTAGACCAGGCTGGTCTCGAACTCACAGAGATCCGCCTGCCTCTGCCTCCCGAGTGCTGGGATTAAAGGCCTTAGTATACTCTATTCTGAGCTAGTGTGGGATTTCTTTATTCACGTTCCCTCCCATCTGACACGTTCTGCTTCATCTGGATACCCAATGCAGGGCTGAGTTCACGCTTACTGGGGCCCCACCCACCCACCACCATGCTCCTAGTTTGCCATCTGGGCATGTTTCTCGCCTGCCCATGGCTCACCTGCTGCTGCTTAGGAACCTGACTTTCCCCTCCATAGCCCAACGTTGAAGGGACTCGCGATTGAGGGGAAGCTTTGGGTATCCTTTTTATTCCAGCTACCAACTCTCTCCGTGTATGGAATCACTTTAATTGTCCTTAATAAGTGCTTTCATTTTGTTAAACAAGGCATATTAACAGTATCTAAGCAGGCAACAGTGCGTGCGGAACCAGTGCAGGATGCTATGCAAAGAAACTGGCAGGAGCCTGGGCTGCTTACATCTCTCCTCCATTGCCCTCTGCCATGCGCTACAACTGTGACACCTGCTGGCCAATAAAGATTATTACACCTACTCCAATTCACTGTAATTGCCTAGGGCAGGCAAGTAAATGGAAACTTGAAAGGTATATGATGACTGACTATATTACCATTCATGAATTTAATAACCATTTTGCTTATGTTATAGATGGTATTCTGCAAGACTTATGTGATTTTCTTTATACATCCATTTATTTGACTTTGGGAATTAGCTTTGATTTTCATATTATATCTTTAAGAAAATGGTTTGATAACAGAGCCAAGAATGAGACACTTTTAGAAATGATACAGATTTACAGACTAATAATGAATAGCTAGCTGAAAAAAATAACACTTATTGAAAAGGAAAACATTAATTTGACAGACAAAATTCAATCCAGTTCAAAGGGTGCTGAGCAATTAATTATCTGAAAGAATTCAAATTGCTAAATTTAACAATCAGAATCTGTTGGAAAGTTATCATAGGTAACGAGCAAGGTATCTCTGTAGGAAGGCAATATGCATGCTATCCAAATAATGTCCAAGGATGAGACATTGTCTTTACTGGACAAATTTCATACCTTGGAATCCTGTGTGAAGAATAACAACCAGAAGCTAAATGAAACAATGAGGGCACTAGAACAGAACACAGGACTGGAGATTCAGATTTTACAAAAGGCAGTAGTAAAAAGATTTGCAAAGACTGAGGAAATTATTAGAACTGATGAGCAAGGAGAGAAGGTACAAGTACAGAATTTAGCCTTGCCAGTACAGGTTAAAGTCAGGAATGACTTACCCAGAGTTTTTACTGTTTATCCAGCAATCTCCTCTGAGAAGCCAACAGGTACAAAATACCCTAAGGCAGTCAAAGAATATAAATGGAAACTTACAGGTATGAGTGAGCTAAAGGAAATTAAGCAAGCAACAGTTATCTTATGGCTTGCACTCACCAGTTGTTAGGGAAATAGTAAAAATGCGGGCTTCAAGCAATAAGGCTACCCCACACAATTGATTTCAATTAGTCTCAGTGGTCCTAGAAGATAGACCCTAGCTGCTATGGAAATGCTATTGGCGAGAAGAGGCAAAAATTTTAGAACAACAGGGAAAAACAAAAGGATTTGAGGCCTCCCAAGATCAAATTCTTGGTGAGGGCTATCACTCCAATTCTTAGGACCAGGCTCTCTACGATGAACACACCTTGCACTATGCAGCACAGTACCTTTAAATGCTTGGGACAGAATCCAGGAACTAGGAAAGGAACTGAATCATATACTAGGGTTAAACAGGGCCAGAGAGAACCCTTTAGTGACTTCTTATAAAGATTAACTTTATAATATAATAAATACTATAATTATTAATAATAATATTAAATAATATAAATAAAAACTTTATAATTAACTTGTATAAGGCTGTACAAATAGGAGTAACAGGCCCAGAAGCTAGATGAGTACTTATTGAACAGTTTTTGAAAATTCCAACTTAGAATGCAAAAAGATACTTGGGCCTTTAAAGGTCAGATCATCACCAATAGATGAATGAATCTTACACACAATGAATGTTAAGACATTTGACTATAGTACTAAGGCTTGGGTAGGAGAAGCAATTTCCAGTGGTATGAGGAGACATCAAAATGACAAATGTTTTAATTGTGGTAGAATAGGACATCTGAGAAAGGACTGTAGGCAGTCCTAGAAATAATGCCTCCTTTGGGAATGGCAAGAATAGGCAGCCTCAACCTTCTGGAATATGTAGGAGATGTGGCAAAGGCTGACTTGAACCAATGAAGGTAGATCAACAAAAGACAGACAAGGCAACCCAATACCATCAGGAAACTCCTTGGGAGGCCTCTCACAGGCCCCCTAGTCAAAAGTGGTCCAGTCATTCCCCGTCACTGTGGAGGACATGTCTCACCAGAAAAATCAAAAAATCTAGTGCCTGCTGTAAAAAAAAAAAATACTGTGCTGGATGATGGAATAAACATGGAGGATGAATCAAAAATTCCAATAGGAAATAGGAAACATATATTCTGGCAGATCAGAGACCAAAGCTAAGAGTGCATATAAATGGCATCGTAACTGATGGATTACTGGACACAGGTGCGGCTATGTCTGTCATTACTCCAGAATCTTGGCATCAAAACTGGCCTCTTCAACAGGCATATGTTCAATTCCTAGGAACTGGAATCCTATCTCAAGTGAAACAAAGCACGAGATGGATTGAATGCATAGGGCCAGAAGGACAGAAAGGAAGGCTGAGGACTAATATCGCAGTTAATTTATGGGGTGGAGACCTGCTGCAGCAATGGACTACCCAGATTAACATTTCTGAGTCCCAGAAACAAGGATATTATAAGGTACTATACACAAAGGTCACCAGCCATTCAGGCTGTACAAGAACACAATGTACCCAGCAAAACTCTTCAAAGACCTCAAAAGAATGGTACTCAACTTCATATAAAAAAGCAAAAAACCAGGATAGCCAAAACAATCTTGTACAATAAAAGAACTTCTGGAGGCATTACAATCCCTGACTTCAGACTCTACTATAGAGCTACAATACTGCAAACGGCCTGGTACTGGCATAAGAACAGGCAGGAGAACCAATGGAACTGAATAGAAGACACAGATATCAATCCACACATCTTCAAAACCTGATTTTTGACAAAGAAGCAAAAAAAAAATCAAATGGAAAAAAGAAAGCGTATTTAACAAGTGGTGCTGGCATAACTGGATATCAACATGTAGAAGAATGAAAATAGACCCATATCTATCACCATGCACCAAACTCAAGTCCAAATGGATCAAAGACCTCAACATAAAGCCAGCCACACTGAGCCTTATAGAAGAGAAAGTGGGAAATACACTTGAACACATTGGCACAGGGAACCACTTCCTAAATATAACCCCAGCAGCACAGATACTGAGGGAAACAATTAATAAATGGGACCTCCTGAAACTAAAAAGCTTCTGTAAAGCAAAGGACATGGTCAACAAGAAAAAACGACAGCCTACAGAATGGGAAAAGATCTTCATTGACCCCACATCAGACAGAGATCTGATCTCCAAAATATACAAAGAACTCAAGAAACTGGTCACCAAAAGAATACATAATCCAATTTTTAAAAAAATGGAATATAGACTTAAACAGAGAAATCTCAACGGAGGAATCTAAAATGACTGAAAGACTCTTAAGGAAATGTTCAACATCCTTAGTCATCAGAGAAATGCAAATCAAAACAACTCTGAGATTCCATCTTACACCTATATGAATGGCCAAGATCAAAAACACCGATGACAACTTATGCTAGAGAGGTTGTGGGGAAAAGGGAACACTCCTGCATTGCTGGTGGGAAATGGAAGCTGGTATAGCCCCTTTGGATGTCAGTGTGGCGATTTCTCAGAAAATTAGGAAACAACCTTCCTCAAGACCCAGTAATACCACTTTTGGGTATATATCCAAAGGATGCTCAATCATGCCACAAGGACATGTGCTCAACTATGTTCATAGCAGCTTTGTTTGTCATAGCCAGAACCTGGAAACAACCTAAATGCCCCTTGATTGAAGAATGAATAAGGAAAATGTGGTACATTTACACAGTGGAGTACTACACAGCAGAAAAAATAACAACAGCTTCAATTTTGCAGGAAAATGGATGGAGCTAGAAAACATTATTTTGAGTGAGGTAACCAAGACACAGAAAGATAATTATCACATGTACTCATTCATAAGTGGTTTTTAAAACATAAAGCAAAGAAAAACAGCCTAGAAACCACAATCCCAGAGAACTTAGACAACAATGCGGACACTAAGAGAGACTTACATAGATCTAATCTACATGGGAAGTAGAAAGTATAAAAAGACAAGATCTCTTGAGTAAATTGGGAGCATAGGGACTTTAGGGGAGGGTTGAAGGCAGAAGGGGAGAGACAGGGAGGGGAGCAGAGAAAAATGTAGAACTCAATAAAAATCAATAAACAAATTAAAAAAGAACACAAAGTAACTAGCAAATTTTTATAGGTACCAAAGTCTCTAC